TAGTCCCCATAAGATTTCACGAGTTTTTATGCTACAGCAAACTCTCGGTTGCGACTGATGCTTACGGTCACCTGTGAGGCACCTCTGCCAAAAGGCCCTTTGGCTGAAGTCGTTCATATGCTCCCCCTCCCCTTCCCTCTCCGCAATACAGGTGGCCTTGCAGTAATTTCTAATGAAGTTTAATATTCCCGTGACACATCCCTAACATTAAATCTACCCCAAACATTAGCCCTATTGTCTATCTTGACTCAAAGCCTACTCTGCCAGACATTTAGCGCAACGCGTATATTACGGGTTTTTCCCCTGTCTCGTCAGTGATGGGGGCATGTAAGCTAATTAGGAAGAATATTCGATGGCTGGGACAACACTTTTATTCGCCTGACGTTTCGACACCGGTCGCGGATTCTTCATCAGAGACATCAGCAGAAAACAGTAGCAGAAACGGGTAATACATGCACAGAAAATTGCAGTATTTATAGGACAGTCATTAATGCACACCTATGACACATAAAGACAATTAACGATAATTGCCCTCTTGTGTGTTAATTGTTTGATTACCGGCATGTGGGCCCTGACTTGCTGAACTTTCATCACGTGTGGTGTAATTGGACGTGATGATTGATCGGCTATCTGGTTCCCGGTGTTAGCGTAAGACGTCGCGGTGGCTTGCGCGTTCCCCAAGTGGCGACTTGCTTCGGCCAAATTGAACCTCACCACCGAATATGGATTGGGCAAGTCCTTGCACTTATTTATGGACTGGGGGCCCGTGAACCATGACTCAAGTTATTCTCGGCTCACACGATTGTCACCTCTTGCTAGAATTCGACCTCATTAAATTTTAATGTGTGGCCAGGTCTCGTCGAATGAACCGCAACTTGAGAATTTTCATAATTTCGCCGCACTGCTGCCGCGTGTTCCACAATTCGCGTCTTAGGAAGCCTGCCAGTTTCTCCGACGTATTTGCTTTATCTGCACCCTCGTATGTTCGCGTGTATTAGCATATAAGCTATCCTCACTGCCAATTTATATGACAAGTCATCCACATCCGTCGGGGTTGCAGCCATCTACTACTGAAAGGCCGTAGGTAGTGGTTCTTTCTGGCCTTATCTCAAAGATGACAACTGTCGTTCGTGTTCGCATCCTAGGCGCTGCAGTACCTGTGTAATGTCTCCCATCTAAGGGGTTGAAGATTTGGGGTTTGCACTTGTGGTGTGTGTCGTAGCCCTTGTTAAATCAAGAGTTCTCGTCGGAGTCCAAACTGGTTGTATTTGGAGGACGGAGAAAGGCCGAGACCTCAACCGGCTTGAGCCAAAAGTTTACGGGGGTGAATTTGGTGCCTGGCTGGAAACCGCAAGCGAAAAGATGCTGACGGTCATGCGGAGAAATGCTGCAATCGGGACAGCTGCCGGATGTGGATGGGTTGAGCTGATGTTGGTACTGGCGAAGGAACATTGAGTAACCACTGCGTAGTTGAGCCAAGGTACAGCGAACGACCACTTATGCACTTGTGGTCATCCCAGTTGCTGTTTTTAAAAAAACGCTTATTCGTTTAAGTTTATGCTGACGACAGCGCACATCAGTATCCTTACCGTGCTTTCAGCCTTATTTTCTGTCTCACTCAAAATATTCCACTAGAGTTCCGCAGCCTACGCCTGGAAGACCATTCCCACGAGGTTAGCGGCTGCACTGGAGGAATTTCCTTCTCCAAAGAGCCCCACTTACCTCGACTTCTCCCTCAGTTGTCCGGGTGTCTTCTCCGATGTAAGCCTGTCCTTCTATTGAAGACTTTTAATATGTATGGATATAGTTCACCAAAACCGTGCTTTTCATCCAGTCATTCCGTCAAGTGAAATTACCGAATGTTTTCATGAATGAACAAGCTGTACCCGATGGCCCAATTCTGTCCTCTCGTGGCCAATGTCTTTATTGTACTTTGGTAAAAAAGACAAATGATCGAGCACTGAAACGAATTGTATTTTCTCCTA